ACCAGGCCCCGTGTCCCATACATTTCTACATGGGTTCGGGAGTTTTATGCTGCTTACAATGATCTGGTACCTCAGGGGAAGAAGAAGGTCAGTGCCTTCAGACCAGTGGAGTTTGTGATGGTCCAGGGAGGAAAGTGAGATGCAGCAGCAATGATATAAACATTTTGTTTGAAAGGGCTACAGACTTTGAGCACGAGTACCAGAGTATGATTACTACAAACACTCAAGATGACCTGAAGGGTTGGCTAGCCCCTTTGATTTCTGACACCACCCCAAGGTTGATTGAGGCCGGAGCGCCAATAAAGAAGAAGGATATAAACATAGCAGCTTGGTACTGGTTTGGCTTCATTAGTAACACAGTCATGCCGTCACAAAATGATTCCATTCTCCACCATCCAAAGGAGGCCTACCTTGGGTCTATCATAGCTAGGAAGAGGATAAATTTGGGGTTGATTATTGAGCAAGAGATGGCCATGAGGTCCAAATAGAGACATACATCACTGCCATTTCTGGTGTTAATCACCAAGCTATGTCGTCGGGTCAGTATTCCTCGAGATGAGAATAGGGATGTTGATATCACACCCACATCTTCTATAGACATTCGGCGTATTGAAGTCGAGTACACACGGGATGAGGCCGACAGAAGGAGTGCAGCTCCGGTAGACACATCTCCGGGGATTGATGTTGATGTGATACATGCAGAGGCAGCCTTGCCTATTCTGGCCTCTAGGACTTCAGGTACCTCTAGCACCGTTCCTTCTAGCACTCCAGGTACTTCCTCTTCTCCCCCTTCCGCTAGGTCTGCTAATGGCACTTCCACTTCTAGGTCTCCGATCACTCAGGCCATGCTTCTCAAGATGGGGCACCTAGCCCATTCTGCCGATGTGCGTGCTTCCCAGCTAGAGGCCGAGGTCCCCTAGATGATTGAAAGAGCTATTAATGTTGCATTGACACCTCTCAGGGCTTCTATTAATTCCCTCACAATAAGAGTATAGGTTTATGAGAGAGGGTAGGGTGTTACTGATGCAGTTACGGCTTTGAAATCCGCTGTTTCTGAGCTGAGAAAGGGTGTGGACCATATGAAGTCCACAGACTTCACTTCGCTATTTGGGACTGTGGAGATCCCAGATGATTCGAGTGTTGATGTTCCAGCCTGTGCTGAGGTACCTCCGGCTACTACCGAAGATGATACTAGGGCTGATGTTGTTGTTGTTGAGTCCGAGGCTGAGACAGATGATGAGCAGCTTGAGGTGAGAGATGAGGTTGTTTATGAGGACCTTACCGATCTAGAGGGTACCATGTTCGAGACAGCTAGACGGGCCTCCTTCAGAGATTTTCTGTGGCAGGCTCCAGTGGAGACAAGGCTGACAAGACACCAGGCACTGATTCCCAACCTCAGAGTGTGACCCTGGACACTGATGCCCAGACAAACAGAGTGACTGAGATGCAGACTTCACCCAGGCTTAGCCTAGCAAGATGATTCTTCCCATCCCTCTCTATTATCTTGTTATACTTTGTTTTATTTTAGTTGCATTTGAGGACAACTGCTTATTTTTGTTGGGTGGGGTGAGGTATTTCTATACCTATCTCCTTTCTTATGACTGTTTTGTGAATATTGGTTTATTGATATGTATTTCTTGGTTGTTGAATTTTGATATTGCGGATGTTTGAGCTTGTGGCCCATTGTTTTAAATGAAAATGGTTTTGAGCATAACTTAATTTTGCCACCTCTTTTGTGTGTAATTGTGGTTGTTCTTGTGCAAATTTGAGTGTTGATTGTGGTCAATACCGATGACTTAAACAGTGCTCCTAATTGAACAAAATGAATGTACGGCTACGATAAGGCAAACAAAGTTACATAGGCAATATGTGAGCTTTTAGCATCTCATTGTGACTAGCCAGTTGTTGAATGAGTCTCTCGTGATGACATTACACACTAGCAGAAAATGTGGAGTCTTGTTTGATATTGGTACCAATGCCTTGTGTGATGAGTTTACTTGGAACATTGTGTGTGATGACACCTAGAATTTGTCTCGTTGGTCCAGTTGATTGAGTGATGCAAGAGCTTGAAATGATCTTAGGCAAGGATTTTGGAGAGTGAACCAATTTGACAATATACTTCTTTTGTGGCCAACCTTATGAGATGTGTGAACCTTGTTTGGCACCTTTTGAGCCTTACCCTATTCCTAGAAGAAATTTAAGCAATTGTGACCTCTCTTTATCCATTCACCCATAACGTTCATGGAGTATGGTTTGCTTGAATAGCCAACTTAGGCCAAAAGCCTAAGTTGGGGGTGTGGTGAAAGGAGAAGGAAAGTCAAGAAGTGTGAGAAATCCCCGTTTTGTGATTGCTTTGAAAAAGATGGAACCCCTTCATGTAAAAAAAAAAAGAAAAATAAAAGGAAATGAAAAAGAAGAAAGAAAAGAAAAAAGACCGAAAAAGTTGTGAAATAAAGTAGTGATTATTGCTAAGGAAATGGGGTATAATGTGGTTCATATGAATTTGAATAATGGGGTGGATTTTGAACATGTTTGAAATGATAAATAAGAGGAAGAAAGTGATGTTCAGGCCATACTTCATGAAGGTAGAAGTCACTGCGCCTAAATGACCATACATTTACACTTAGCCACGTTACAAGCCTTGAAAATACCTTTGTAATCTTGAGTGGGCTGAAACGAATGTTGATCGGAAAATAAGGGCAAACCCATTGGTGAAGTCATGCATACGTTCATCTTTGAGAGTGTGAGAGTTGTATGTGATTCCGGGACTTTAAATTGTTGAGAAATTTTGTGTGAATGTGGAATCATCTTTGTTGTGAGGGCATTTGAGTACCTTTGTTGAGCTTAAACTTGCATTTGAAGCAAGTATTGTGAACTTGAGCATCTTTGATAATGGTGAGTCGCAATTTGAATCTTTGAGTGCACAATTGATCATTGTATGAGTAATTTGAACCTTGTTTTGTGCATTTATGTTGAGTCTTATGCAACACTATTTGTAGACATCCTTAGTGAACTGTTGATCTTGAGTTTTACTTGAGGACAAACAAAAGTTTAAGTTGGGGGTGTTGATGAGTCTGAGATTTGAACTAATTTAGGGCTTTGTTTTGATTGTTTTAGTGTCCTCAAATGCCTAATTTATGCTATAAATTGATGTTAAAGCCTTGATTTTTAGGTATGTGGACTAAGGAGCAAATTAAGGACACTAACAGAAAAAAAAAGAACAAAACAAGCTGAAGAAGTGAAGAAGAGCACTCCTGGTAATCGCCAAGACCACTAGGCGAACTGCTGAGTAGCTCTTCAGACCGCCTAAAGTTCCAGTGTGTCAGCCTTGAAGGAAGAAACCAAGTCGGCGATAGAAATGGGAAGTCGGTGAATTGCCGATCGGTTCCGCGATATAAAAATGGATCATCCAAAGTTACAGGACTTGAGGATGCTGAGAACCAATGTGAAAAGGCGATGAAAGAGAGAAAATGAAAGATCACTTAACCACTCGGCGATCCCGACTTACCTCACCTAATGGATTTTCAGGCCAAATTTTGTGAAACTATAAATTGGATTTTAAATGTAATTTTGAGGAGTTCTCTCCCAGATATTACAGTTCCCATTCTAGACTTAGAGTTTTCTCTGAATTTTTGAGTTCGAATGGTACAATTTTGGAGGATTTGCAAGTGAGTTTTTGAATTTCATTCTTAGAAATCATTGTAAAGGCTTGGAGAATCTTACCCAGTTCATGGCTAATGCATTTGGTAATCGTTTCTCCATTTTTATGTTGTGTGGCTAAAACCCCAATTCTTGGGGTGTGATTTTGTGATTATGGTTTGAATTAGCTTATGGGTATTGTTTATTACTAATTTAAATGTTATATTGAAGTGGATTTAATCATTAGCTGTGTTTTTATTTATGAATTGTAGTTGCAAATGCAGTTCTAACTTTGAGTTCTTAGCTTGCTTGAGAAAGAGGTTTTTGAACCGAAGCTTTTGATTAATAATTTGGAGGTATTGGGTTGATGTGGGTTCAACTCGAAAGAGTGAATCCCAGACCCAAATACTATCCATCTTGCTTGAGAGAGAGAGAGAGGATGTATTAAGGTTGTGGGTTGTTCTTATCTGTTAAGCTTGTTGATGTTCGAGAGAAATCACTTGAATCGAAGAAGTTGTTCGAGAGAAAGCTATTTCACTCATAGCCCAGCCTACCCACTGATAGTTAGCTATTTATTAGTAGTTTCAATTACCCATATAGCGAAAATTGCCTATAATCGATCACATCCCGAGAATTCCTCACTATATTGTTATTTCATCGTTCTTTGACAGCATAATAGCTGATAATTGCAAGCCAAAACCCCCATCTGACATTTGTTTTCACCCCCTTTTTACTTTGTATTTTTTTATAATTTCTATTCCAATAGCTATTTAGATCATATTTGTACTTCATAACTGAATTTGAACACATGCCTCTCCATGTAGGTTTGACCCCAACTCTTCGTTGGGTTTTATACCACTTAACGATCGTTTGCACTTAGAATTGGATGAGGTGTGCTTGAAATGTTAATCAGGACACACTGCACAAGACTTACCCACTTGCTATTAGAAATTGGGTACACAATTCCAACATCTAACCACGTTATTACTTCCTTTCTCGCCACTTCTTTCATCAAGGGATTTAGTCTACGTTTATGTTGTGCACTTGGTTTGTGATCCTCATCCATATATATGTTGTACGTACATAACGCCGGACTAATCCCATGGATATCTGCCATCTTCCACCCAATAGCCCTCTTCCTTCGGTTTAAGACTCTCAATGTCGCATCAACCTGTGTTCAGACAATTCTGCAGAAAGTATTACGGGTAAGGTTTCATTAATACCCAAATACGCATACCTTAGGTGAGTAGGCAAAGATTTCAACAGCAATTTAGGTATTTCTTCAATTGAGGATTTGGGGGGAGGCCCCAATTCACGATCCAATGATTCTACTCTACCTATATGTGTTCCAATATTGAGCTTCAGTATCTTCCTCTTATGTCATGTCTTATCAGGACTCTTTCCAAGGGATCCACAGAAGCAATGAATTGTGATTCTACTGCAAGGTCTATAACAGTAATGGCAGACAATTCTTCATAGACAGAAGGCAATTTCAAGGCGCGATAGACATCAAATACTTCAACCTTATCGTGTGCCCTCATAGTCAACTGCCCAACTACTACATCAATCAATGCTCGCCCAGTGGCCAAGAAAGGATGCCTTAGAATAAATGGGACCTCTGGATTAGTCTCAAAGTTCAAAACCACAAAGTCCACAGGAAAGATCAATGATCCCACTTGTACCAACACATCTTCTACTACACCTTCTAGTCTAGCAATGGATCTATAAGCTAGTTGGATAATAACAGTGGTTGGTTTCGGACTCCCCAACCCAAGTTTCTTGTATAAGGATGTCGGCATAAGATTAATGCTCGCACCCAAATCACATAAAACTCGGGCATGGACACTTTGCCCAATTTTTATTTGAACTGTGAAGCTACCCGAATCCTTCAACTTCTTGGGTAGTCTTTTCTGAATTTGAGAGTTGCACTCCTCAGTAAGTACTACCGTTTCATACTCTGTGAGCCTTCTCTTTTTTGCCACTATCTCATTTACATACTTGTCATACTTAGGAATTCTCTGCAAAATATCAACCAAAGGAAGGTTAATCTGAACCTGTTTAAGGAGAGACAGAAACTTACCGAAGCATTCATCTTCATTCTTCTTTCTGAACTTTTGTGGAAACGGACGGGGTGGTTTCATTAGAGGAACATTCTTCTCAACATTGGAGTTCTTTACCACCTCTTCTTGTTTATTTTCTTTATTGACCACTTCAACATCTATCTTCTTTAAAGCTAGTTCCTCTTGTTGTAGCCCACTTCTGGTACTCACAACATTCAATTGCTTAGGGTTGGGTTCAGTGTCACCAGGCAAACCTCCTTGAGGACGCAAGTTTAGTGAATTAGCCACTTGCGCAACTTATTTTTCCAGACTCATTTGGGACATTTAGAGGTTCCTTATGTTTTCATCATGCTTATCTATCCTTGTGTTTATCTTCATACCAATTTCTGTCATTAGCTTTTGGAGTAACTCTTCATTAGTCATCCCCCTTTTTGGTGCACTTGAATTTCTACCTTGGCTAGTATTTTGATATTTCTGCCCCATTCCTTGTGATCATTATTGGTTAGACCCTTGTGCTTGGTTTTGGTTTCCACCCATGAGAAGTTAGGATGGTTTCTCCAACTAGAGTTATAAGTATTGCCAAAACTTTGACCTCCACCTATTTGTGCATTGCCTACATAATTAACTGAATCTGAATTTGTTTCATATGATTCAGTGTCATGTCATATGCTCCACTACCACATACTCCGCACCAAACTGTTGATTGTTGTATATCATTCACTGGTGCTTGATTTAGGGCAATTTATTTGAACTGCATGGTTATGTTGTGGTTCATTGCATCTAGTTTTGTGTTTATTGCAGTAGCTTGATCCACATCTAAAATTCCTACAGCCCTTTGTGCGTTGTGGTCCTTGGCACTTCCCCATCCCAAACGGGGTTTCCTTCTAAGAGTCTATCTAAGAGTTCAAATAGCTCCTCATGGTTTTTAGCTAAAACTTATCCACTTGTTGCACTATTAATAAGTACTCGTGCATTATAATCCAGACCCTCAAAGAAAGTGTGAGCAAGTACCTCATTAGCCTGGTAGTGATAGGGATAAGCATTCAACAATTGTTTGAAATGAGCCCATGCTTGATACATATCCTCCTAATTTTTCTACTTGAAGCTCAATATTTCACTCCTCAACCATGCAGTTATGCCTGATGGAAAGAATCGACTCAAAAACTTCTTTGCTAGATAATCCCATGTAGTGATGGAATTTGGTGGCTCTAAATCTAACCACTGCCTAGTGGCTCCCAATAACGAGTGTGGAAAAAGAGTCAACCTCACATTGTCCAATGAAATGCCATTCGGTTTGTATGTGTCGCTTATCTCCAAAAAGTTCCGAATGTGGATTTGAGAATCCTCGTGAGGGAGACCGGTGAATTGTCCCATTGCATGGATAAGTTGTACCATATTCTATTTCAGCTCAAATCTTCCACTAGGTGGTGGTTTCCATATACTAGACACCACATTGGCTATGAGTGGGACTACCACATCACGAACTGGTCTTGCCGGTATAATCGGGGGTACTTCTTGACCTTCATTGTTTATGTTTCCTCCGTGGTCACCCTCAATATCTTTCGGGAGACCCAGTCCCAATTCTTGTTGATATTCTTGATTCGCCAACTTTCTTCGTAGTCAAAGGGCTCTTTCAAGTTCGTAGTCTAGTTCGACAAGATCCCCTTTTCGAGCTAGACTTGAGAATATAGTGCCTGCAATATACAAGAGCTAAGATCAAGTTATTAACACTTGAACAATCTCATTGTAGACTTAAGAAAATCAAATATAAATCAATTCCTAGGTCCCCGACAGCGACGCCAAAAACTTGTTGCTCCCAATTGCACACACAAGTGTACACGGTCATGCAAGTAATATAGTTTCTTTAGAAACGAGTTTTCATTTTGAAGGGACTTATGATCAACTTATATTCACTATCTTAATTCCACAATTAGATAAAATTAACTTCTAAAAGAGTTTGAACGTTGTTGATTACTACTACAACTTATGCAATAAATAAAACAACTAATGTGAACGACTTCAAGGTGATGTTTTAAGCAAGTAAAAGACAATTCCAGGTTGCAGAATGCATTGGATTTCGTGTATCGTATCACAGACAATGAACTAATTTACGTTATTAAGTTACTGATTCATAGGGTTAATTATATGATTATGGTCTCCCGACCTCTAATCGCCTACTCCAATTAGTTGTCTAACTACATCGTTGAGCAGGTACAGGCAGTTCTAATTGGCAAGCATTTACTTTTCATCTTGTTTTATAACCAAGCTAGGTGTTCGTCTGGGTGTCACTCCTAAACACAAATCAACTCAACTTAATGGAGGATCAAGATTTATGTATCCTTTGGTCTATCTACCTTAGCCTCTCTCGATTTTAAGAGTAGACAACATATTTATCTCTATGATGGCCAATCAAGAAATACTAAAACAAGAAGATAAAAGTAACTTAAAAACGATAACCATTAATTAATTCAAAACCCATTAATACTCAACAATCAATCCGTAGCTACAGCCCCATAACAAGGGTGTTTAGCCACTCATAATATTCGAAAATCACAAAATAATATTGTTCAAGCGATTTCCAAAATAAAGAAGATTTAGAGAATCGAAACCTATTACAAAACTTTAATCATTGCTCTTGCAAACCAAAAAAAAGTCGAACCCTAACAAAATAGCCTTAGAGTCCTATTTATAGAGTTTAGTAAAATTATTTTCTAAATCTGCTCTAACTAGGAGTCCTAATTCAGTCAACTTTTGTTAGACACGTCGGACACATGTTGGGGTGTCGTGCCAGACAGTGCACCAACAAAAACCTTCAGTAGTTTAGGCAGTGGCGCACTGTGCCAAGCAGTGCGTCTGAGCATTGCTTCAGTAATCGAGGCCTTGGCGCCTCGCGACAGGCAGTGCGCTTAAGAAGGTTGCCTGTAATTCTGGCCTTGGCGCCTCGCGCCACTCAGTGCTGCTTTTCTCCTTAGTTTATTTTCGTGCTTACTTGCTTCTCCTTTCCTCAAATCGACTCCATTCACCTTGAAAGTTCCTGTAACACCTAATCGCATGTTTTAGTGCACAATCATAGCAAATTAAACAAAATCAAGTCAATAGTCTCAAGATTATTCTTAAATTCAATCCCAATATGGGCATTTATTGGCAACTTCGGCATATAAATACGTCTAAGATCACTATGTGTTTACTTTGTGTGCATGTCCTAGCATACACTTGAGAAAGAATAAAGAATCTAATGTCTCTCAAGATGAATATACAAAAATAATTGAGAATGTAATGTCTACACTCGTCCTGATATAGCTTATGTAGTTAGTAGATTGAGTAAATGTACTCATAATCTCAGTAGTGAACATTGTAATGCTCTTTATCGCTTGCTAAGGTATTTTAGAGGTACTATGGTTTGGTGTTGGCATTTTAATAAATTTATTGTTGTTTTAAAAGGTTTTGGTGATGTAAACATGATAACTGACAATGATGAAGTTGGCTCTACTAGTGGCTATGTGTTTACTTTGGATGCATGTGCTATTTCTTGAAAGTCTTTCAAACAGATTTATATAGCACGTTTTACCATGAAATCAGAACATATTACTCTCGAGTTGGCAGGGCAAGAAGATGAGTGGCTGAGAAATCTTTTGGTGGATGTGTTTGCCACGCCCCAAGGCTACCCCCTTGACGTAAATACGGGACCTAGAATCACGAGTGACCCCAAGCTAACCCTGAAGATGGCATATCATAAGCATACTAAAAACTAAATAAAGAGATACAATGCGGAAGCTAAAACATGAGATAACTGAAAGATAGGGAATACCCAATACTGATATGAATATATATAAAACATACTAAAAGTTTAGAGATACTGAACAATCACTCAAATGTTAAAGTTGAATCTAATACTATGTCTGAAAAGCCTCTACTGACTATAGTTTCTGGGACATACCCCCAGCTAACTCTAGCAAAACTAAAACTGAAGTAAAAGACTGAACATGAAAAACATGTCTATTGTCCTCGAAGTATGAGGACTCACCACTGAAGCTGTTGAGTACGGATCGGGAACCAAACTATGCGTAATCTGGATGCTGAGGACCTGAACCTACATCATGAAAGGATGTAGCACAGAGTATGCGTCAGTACTTGGAATGTACTGAGCATGCATGATATAGATAATAGCTGAACAAACATACATGATGAACAAAGCATAACTGAGCGATGATATAATTTGAACAAAATATAATTATTGAATTATAACCGAAAAGAACTAAACTGAATGCAATGACCAAGTACTGATTATTAACATAACATACTGAGACTGACTACCTAAGTATAACTGAAAACCTGGTCAAATGCACTAGAGTCTGACTGTGGGAGCTACTATTAACCGACATAAAACCACGTGAGCTAAATGCGAAGTCTGATGTATATGCCCATTGAGAGGACCCAATATACCTTGTCAGGGGTATAAAGGCATGACTGGCGTGATCACTAAATCTGATGCCCACAGATGGGACTTACAAACCTACGGAGGAGCATAGTTCTGAGACTATGAGGGTACGCTGAACCCTAGTCTAACTCGATGCTAAGCCTACTCCCAACTGGAAATGTGTATGACACAACATAACTGAAATACTGGATAGATCAATGTTCTGACATGCAAATCTGAGAATGCAATATTTAGGAACTGACAATGTAATATTCGAAAACTGGAACATGTTTATCTGTTTAACTGACCTAGCAAGTGTAATTCATGAACTAAGAGAATCTACACTACTAGGGTTCTGAGTTTCATGCCAGGAACTAAGCAAACTTTCCAAGAAAACATGATAATTCGATTACGAATACTACAACAGATAAATCACAACAAATGTCTAAGGTTTTAAAAACCCTAGGTCTAAACAAGATATAGAGAATCAAGAATCTGACTGAATTCTAGAGACCTAGTGGATGAAAGAACCTACTAGTGAAATCCCACATACCTGGTGACGAATTTCACGGATAGATCTTTCAATTTTAGGGAAGGAACTGAAGAAACTATTATGCTAGTTCTTGAGAGGTTGTCGCTTCTTTCTTCTTTTTTTTGCTCTAAGTTTGTTGATTTTTGGGAGAATAATCATTCTGGGTAAGTTCTGACTAAGTTACTAGGCTTGAACTGGTTAAAACGATGTATTTTCGGGTTTAAATGACGTAGTTTAGGTGTCCTACACATAGAGGAAAAGACCAAATCCCAACTTAAAATCTGACGGAGGCCTTCCACGGACCCTATGACGGACCGTCAAATGGACCACGGCCCGTTAAGTGGGTCATGGTCTGCGGGCCAGTGACTACTGGTTCAGGACCCTTCCCTTTACGGTCCACTTCACGAACCATGAAGGCCACCATGTTCCTTCACTTGGGATGGGGGCCTGCTGGCTCAAGACAACAGACGCCACCATGACCCTTCATCAAGACCACGCCCCGTAGAGGGCTCCTTGGTCTGATGCCTAGGCCTAGTTGGTTCTTCCTGGCTTACACGAGCCTCCCCACGGCTCGTGGGTGGTCCACGACCAGTGAAGGGTCTTGTGGTCCACCTCTTCTGGATGGGCATGAGCCATGGGCAGGTCAACGGACCCTGGTTCCTTTCACGGTCTGTGAACCATGTCGTGGTTCACCAAATTTTGTTGTTTATTGCTGCAAAGTCCAAGTCTGATTTCTGAGGTGTTACAGTGTCGTTGTAGGGAAGACAAGCTTCATCAATCTTTCTTCTTTGTGACTCAAAGGAAACAATTGAAATTACCAAAAATAGTGTGTACAATAAAAGAAAACATATTTGCATCAGACATGATGTAGTTAAACAATTATTAAAACTGGGTGTTATTTTCTTGGAGTATGTAAGGTCTAAGAGAAATTTGACGGATCCTATGACCAAGGGCTTGTCAAGAAAAATAATCCTTGAAACATTGAGGGGAAATGGGGCTAAAGCCCATTGATTGACATAGTGTGGTGGACCCATTAGGCCTTAATATAAACCACATTTTTTATCCATATGACGTGAGGCAGTGTCTTATAAGGTTGAGCTTATTTTGATTTTAATGATTCTATAGTCTTAAGGTGGTCTATTTGAGATAGACTTGATGGAATCACCTACGTGAGTGTAAAGGTGTGGTCGTTTTTTATGAAAGACTTGGATCGTCTTTCTAGAGCACTCAGAAGACCCAAGGTGTGTGTGCATACCATAAAAACACTTTGTTTGTACTGCAGAGGTTGATTAAATTTTAAGAATATAGTATGTGCTATGGGTTTCAATATATATCCATTCAGTTTAAGAGTACTTCACTGTGTGGATACTAAGTTGTTGCCTCATTTCACTGTGTTAATTCAAATTAAAAGATATTAACACTTAAGTACATGTTCCTTCCTTTTGTCCAAATTCTATTCTTACTCTTTATCTTTGCATTTATGGGGGATTGTGATATTAATTTCACAATTATTCATTTTGTGCAATGCAAAGAACACAACGTAAAATACATTACAAAGAGAACAATATTTTTATTTTAAAACAAAAGAAGAGTTCTTGTAGAATGTGATGTAGTGACTTTTAACGCCATTAAGATTCACAATGCGTTGTCAAGATTAACTCTTGAATTTTCAATACCTCCTACTGAAATATCATATATAAGTAATGTCTTTTGTGATCACCACAAGCCCAACAAAAAGAAGAGAAAAAAAAAATTCCTTTCTTCTTAGCTTATTCTTAGAATATTTTTTGGGCAATTGATTTTGCGCAACCTCCAAACTTTCACTCACGAGTGCACGTGTTTGAGAGTAACTGTGGAACCTTGGGGAGCGACCGGATACAACGATTTGCACCGGAGTCGGATCGAAATCGCTTTCAAGGCAGTGACTTGCCACGACACAGTGTTTACCTAGTGTTTATAATAAGTAATTACTACTTTGTAATTCCAGTCCAATATCAATATAGTAGTATTTTTTTTCCAACAATTATTGCTTCCGACTTGCTTGATTGGCAAGTAGAGGCATTTGTGTCAATTTTGAGAAAATTTATAGAATTCATTGGTGGGACAATTACCTATAAATCTATGGCTTATTGAACCACAAATTCTAAAAAGTCTACCTTTTATTCTTAAACTATGTGTACAATCAAACACTTTTATATAAATTGAGATGAATACAGGATAAGATTTTTCTTTTATTTCCATTACTTCTTTTTGTAGATTATCTTGAGTTGGGGTCTATCAAAAACAATTACTCTACCACTGAGATAAAAGACAGATTTGCGTATATTCTATCCTTCTCAAATCTCACTTTATGGGACTATGGTAAAACCTCACCAAATTAATATATGTGGGACCATGAAATATTATTATTTTGTAGAGGTATTATTTAATCGATAAATTAATATCTATTAATTTAAAGAGTCTTTTGAGATTCAATAAAGGTTAATTTTGATTACATCATTGCATCTTACTAATTTATATATCATATTTATTGAATTCATATAAAAAGTAAATTTATTATATATAAAGTACAATAAATACATCAAATCATTGTATCTTACTAAATTATGTATCATATGTATTGAATTCACATAAAAATAAATTCATTATACATAAAGTACAATTATGTGTATGAATCATTGTAATATATCTTTTTTGTTAAATGATTCATGGTAAAATAAATTCAATGTTAATGATGAAGTTGAAGATGATACAATACCTTTGAAATCAGTTACGCGTAAGGAAATACTTATCTCATCTAGAACTCTTCACAATTTTATGGTGCAGTTCAAAAAGATAACACCGAAACTTTTGGATGCAATAAGAAAAGTAAGAGATGAACTTCAACTAGATTTAAATTTTAACAAAAACCAAAACACAATAAAATCATGTCACTAAATTGTTTTGGATATATTTGTACTTTTAAAGAATTATTAATTTATAATATTAATGGGACAACATATTTATATAAGGGTCTTCTGAAAATATATTATCTTATTATTTTATCGAAATAAGTGATTTTTTTCCATTGAACCAAATCAGGACCAAAGAAATATATTATCTTAGAGAGATTATTAATTACCGAATATTAATTTAGTGAGATTTTACTGTACACTAAATATGTTGTTATGTTGTAGACATAGTATAAGATTTTAAACATGAACCAATGTAGGAAATAGCTTCACACAAAATCAAAGAGAAGTATTTCACAATTTTAAAAGAGTATTTGTTCGGCACGTTTTCTTGCTTTTATCGTTCCTGCTTAAGGCAAGAGGAGTGAACTATTCTGCTTGTGTTTGCTGTTTGATACGAAGAACATTTTTAATTAAAAATGTGGAAAATATTCACTTAAGAAATGAGTTGATTTCTTACTTATTTTCTAATGTTTGATAAATAGGCAAGAAAATGTTAATTCAAAAACATTTATATGTAATCTAATAAAAAAAAATTATAAAGCCGGGAAGGAGTGGCAGTGGGATGATCAAGGCATTGAATGGGTGGGTGAATAGAATAAACATAGAATACCATTTCTGAAACTTATTTCTTCCACTTTCATTAAAGAAATTATTTTCCTCATTTTTAAGTTCATTTTCCCAAAGAAAATATTTTCCAAAAATTTTGTTTAACCAAACATAGAAAAATAAGAAAACATTTTCCAAAAATTGTTTTCCTCCATCCCAAACACTACGCAAAGTTGCCGGTAGTACTTCAAATATGAAGTTAAAATCTCATCAAGATTGACAATTCCAAGTTTGCAACAGTTACTATATCATAACCCAAGAAAAACGGATAAAAATGAACGGATGCAGGTAAAATTCATTATAATGTAGAATTTAAATTCCAAAGACATTGAGTGTAAAGAGATTTATCTCGTCTGTCTATATCTTCATAGACAGAGTTACCTCATACTTACCTGATACCGTGTGAAATGGATAGTCAATATGGATACAAACCGATAAAAACCACATTTTTTTTAAGAAAAAAAAAATACAAAAGGCAACTGTATCTGCAAATAATAACCAGCTCTCTCCAGCCACTCAAACCAAACTAACCCCAATAGAAGAAAAATGGCATAAATAGTAAAAGGCTCATACCAATATACTATAAGCAATATACAGTATTTCAATCATACGCAATATCACAGGCCAATACACAACATAGCATTACAATGGTTTAAGATTATATCAATTTCCACATTAGTAATTTGGAGACCATTTAGCTACACCTACTCTCCCCTGTCATCTTCCTCGGACATGCCATCCCCTCCATGCCTGCGAACAAATTTAGTACAAAGTTGAGGCACAACCATTTTTTAGCAGAAAGCATGGTACTACATTTTTTACCACGATACTTCAACAAAGAGACAACACATCATGAATAACTAGATGTACATAAGTTTTTCAGAATAACACAACAGCTCATCAGCTGTCCTAGGTCATTACTACTTGCTGCATTCTTGAATAGTTTAACCTTGTCTTTGTGTAATACAAACTTAAACTTGATCTAATAGAGTGGAAGCACTTCCTAAAGTGGGCTGATGTCAGTCATATCAAATCACAATCTATTATTACCCTCAAAGTAATAGTAAGAAAAGGAAGGTGTTGGAAATATGTCTCACGATATTGCAAAAATAAATCAGCTAGTTGTATTATCTCTAAAAGACTTCTTTTGCAGAAATTCAGTTCATCAATAGCTAAGTTTTAAGGATTTTAATTTATTTTTATAAGAGTACTATGTGGCTTGAATTTAGGAGTTAGTTTCCTCTTTCTTTGTTATTTGAATTTGCGGATAAGTTAGTAGCATAATTTTGTATTCTAGTTAGAAACTAAAGCTATAAATGTATGTCTCTGAGTTATGAATAAAATAATTCCCTTTGACAGCATTGCAGTATTTTATTTTATTTTCTAAGCCTTCCTATGTTGTTTTCCTAATTTTTGCTAAAAACAAACAATTGGTATCTAGAGACATCAAATGGTGTATGCCGAGAGACGCCTTAAAACCTCTACTTGCATGAAAAAGGGAGCCATTGCTAAATCACTTCTCAGAACAGGTTTTTCGGGTTGTTTGGAAAGAAAGAAATGAGAATTTCTTTGGATAAGATAGATATTGTTCTCAAACACAATTGAAATGTTTTACTTAGGTTTTGGTGCAACACTGCTATGGGAATTGAATAGAGCCTGAAGCCATGTTAGATTTACTCTATTCATTACATGACTTGTAATTCACGTACTCTTTTGAATGTTTATCTAACCAACATTTTGCTGGCTCACATCAATAAATTTTACTTTATCAAAAAGATATCACAGTAGACTGCTGGAAACATATAAGGTACATAATCTATTGTTTCGTCAAAAAGGATTGATAATTTTTGTTATTCATAATGCATTTTTAACAATTTGTTTTTGACAAGGTATCCAAAAAAATTAATGTATTTTAACAATTAAATAACTTCAAAATTTAAAACTTAATAAACGTGTATAAATGATCATTTCAATTAAAACTTTACAAAGTAGCTTTCTCTACTTAAACGGATCTTAAAGTACACTAGATTAAACCTATTTTAGTCATCACACAAACTTTTCATGCATACCATTACACTATTTTCCCCAGATTTTGTCAAACATCAGAGAGAGTCTCTCTTCCTTATTCATAGTTAAGTTTTTATCACATTCAGTACTACAAAATAAATGTAGCACCTGCCTTGGCACAATCTGAAACGTTGCTCTTATGCAGAGAATTCAATACATTTAAAAAAAGAATTCACTATCAGTAAGTAGCACAAAATCCATATACTTGGATTGAAAGCATGGGTAATATTTCTCAGCAAGCCAGCCCAAAAGTACTATCTGGTCTAGTTATGCTGCATAATGGCATCTATGGACATAACAGCTGCATAGCAGAACAAATAAGGTTGTCATCTTTAACCTTACTGACCAGCCACAAGTGATGTATTTTATAACAGCCACAGCCAAAATCAAACAAATCATCCATGACTAACATTCACCAAATCTCTAACTCCCATACCCATCCAACAGAAGTAACATAAAAATCAAACTAGAATAAGCAATCCAGTTTTCAAACACTTACCGCCAGGAAGTGGTAAGATTCCGAGCTTTTCTGTCCAGCTGAAGGTTTTCTAAGGCAGATGAAGCACGACTTACATCTTCTGCAAGTTCATCATTGTCATATCTCCAGTTGTATTCATCCTTCCTGTATCCAGATACCGACGAACCTCCTCTTCTATCTAAAATTGCAACCATATGAACAAGATTAAACATTTATCCAGGAATTAATACATATAAAGCAAGTACACTACCTACCAGATGACTGGGCTGCAGGACCTGGCCTGTGGAATGAAGATGGTCTCAAGTCAAAATCTCAAATCCAAAAAGAAAAATAAATAAATACAAAAAAAAAAAGATGACATAATAGTGTATTATGTGAAAACCTTCCCAATGGAGGTAAGCCCCCGGCAACTGAAGATGAAGAAGGCCTCCTCATGTTCCTTGTTTCTAAAGTGGGAAGAGAAACAGCATCTGGTGTTGTCAATCTCCTCCCAGCACCCCTTCCTTGAGATAAGTTCTGTGACAGATTTTTTTTTGAAACTGGTAACTTCTGTGACAGATTTTAAAAGCTTGCCATAATGCTAATTCCTACTAGATAGACTTGTATATTCACCATAGTCAATTCGAATGCAGGAAAAAGTGAACTGCAAATGATATAACTATCATTCAATGAAACTACTTAAACATATTAAAAACTCTAACCACACCTGGAACAGGAGACTGTTAAACCATCACAAAATGCAAGTTTCATATACTAACATACTTGTGTACACTTAAAAAAATTTAAACCAGCATCTGCAGAATAGGGATGCTCTTTAGTCTTTACTAAGTCAATCACATCTGAGCAAGGTTAATGGTTCAAACACAAACCATTGATTGCACGAAGCGGATATACCTCACAGAACAAAGAAAAGAAAGAAGTGTTTGAAGTAGAACCAAGAAATAAATTTTGTTGAATAAAATTAAGCTTAATGGTCTTTTTTCTCTTTTGATAAAACAAGCTTAGTGATATTTATTGTCCTATTGGCCAGTATCACTAGTAAATCAAGAGAGCTGTTCCTAATTATGCCTTGATGCTTTCTACTTATTTACTTTCATCTTCCTCTGTGATTTGTTTCTTGGGACCTCTAGCAACATGTTTTCCCCCCTAGGACCACATTTGGTCATAGCATTTGTAAGCAATTTATCGATCTATAGAAGAAAAAAAAAAACGAGGAGAATTTGGATACCATATGGAGAGAGGGACACAACTGCATGAGGATGTCGAGACAACCACTCTTAACAAACTGAACTATTTATATATTTAACATATTTCCTACATTTTTGAATTCATCCTTCTCAACTTTTATTCTTTTCAAGGATGATAAAATTGTATCCCCAACAAACAAGTTCCATACGATTATCAATGATAATCTCCCCGCCTTTCTTCTTTTAATTTTCTTCTTGTAATACTAATAGAAACATAAACAATACCATAAGCAACTGACAGATATATGTCTAGAAGTTATCTAATATAAGAAGTTTATCGAACCTCATACTTCAAGAATCCTTCGAGAACATCCAAAAGCAATGGGCCACTATCCCCATTCCTGTTAAGATCGTATCCATTTTTGCTGCTAAATTCTTTTAGCTCTGATTTCCAAGAATCCTTTTGCTGCAAACAAGAAATCTCTTGTAAATTGAAATAATAACTGACAATTTATGCAAATTGGTTTGATTACATTAATTATAGCTGTACAATATTACCAAATTACACTCTGGTAAATAAACTTTAAGTGAGTGGTTTAACTGAGCCCAGTCAAAATATTCACATATCAGTGCCGTTAGCAGCCTTCCTGCATTCAGCAAGGGGAAAAAAAAAGTTACAAGGAATCAATGTGGGAGGATATATGAAATGTTAAACTCTTCTTTAACTACTAAAACACCTATCTTTATGCATTGATTATAAAATTAAAGGGCCATGGTAAGAGGTATTTTACCATAAAAGTAATATTTGGTGTTCAATGTGTAAACATCAGTGTGTTTTGTAAGAATCCTAAAGCAACTACATGTGTTATTCACTGTAAGATGATTATGCAAGGAAAACAGAAAGCACATGTGCACAATCTACAACGCTTCAATAATCAAAGCAAATAAAAAATAAGCATGACCGTAAAACATAAAGGGGTAAAAGCCCAAAATAAACCTGAAGGGGAATTATGGAGTTGCTTCGCACGCTCATTGCAGCTACCCAATAGTGCAGGAGGCAAGCCTTCGTCCTTTTCAATGGTCCTATCCTCCTCTTCTATTGCCTCAAAAACGCTTGCTCTAAGCTCAGCCTAAGAAATGTAGCCAAGCAAAATGTGTAAATATCTTGTGGATCAACCAGAGTTCCAATTATATCAACAAGGGAGAATTCTGAAGAAGATCTGCATGTGACAGAAATCTTGTTTCGATAAACAAGATCATCAGGTTTCTTTTACCAATAAATAATTTCTTAATCAAAAAGCTACAAAAATTTCACTATTATTACAAATCCAACATAGAATAGGAAACATTTGTTTTCAGCTTTTTCTAATTGCACTTCCTCTGTAAAGGTAGTAACAAGCAGCTCTCATGAGTGAAAAAAAAGTCAACTTTTTTATGGGCCAAGTTAATCAGACATACATTGACACCACTGGCTTCAGTTTAATATTTCTATAATCTGCTCATATGACTGTTTGGAAATTCTACTTCAGATCCAGTAAACTCTAATTAGCCATTTCGCAATTTACTTTTTCCGTGATCAATAAATGAGTCACAAATTAGATTGTTAACCTCTTTTGATTATTACTTTTGTTTCATTCATCTACCAATCGCACTGTAGAAATTTCTTTATTTATTTTGTAATTAGTATTAGAAAAGCAAGCTGCATACAAGTAGATTGTTAACCTCTTTTGATTATTACTTTTGTTTCATTCATCTACCAGTCACACTGTAGAAATTTCTTTATTTATTTGTAAGTAGTATTAGAAAAGCAAGCTGCATACAAGTACCTATATGGCTTTCTAATTAATAGAGAAACACATTTATACATTCAGTTTCCTGGAAGCCTATACAATTTCTTGGTGCTTCACACAATCTTATCTTATGGTTTTGCTGATAGAATCCTAGACAGGATTCCCAAATTTTATCATCCATTGGTATTTCTTTTTTATGTTCTCTGTATATATCTTGATTTTTTACAATTCACCACCATAAGTTTCTCATTTCATGGCCCAAAATGTTTCAAAATTTTAACCCCATAAGTCACCCTCAAATCTTTGTTTTCATATTAATTTTCAAAGCATGGAACAATTCTAAGTTCCTAACTTTTCTCTACTATTCTTGTTTTTTTCTTGGATTACGGATTGGAGGTCCATAGTGTGGGTACCACAAAGGGGAATGCATGAAGGGAATGAATCTTATACTTCCAGGATACAAGGTAGCAATTCAACTGGCAGGTTACAATTTAATCCTCCTTATTCTGTATATGACAATCTTTTCTCTAAGGAGTCATTTAGTATAGATACAAGTTATGCAGGAATAATCATGTAGGGATTATAAACTTAGGAATTGTTATGTAGGGATTAGTAATTCAAAGATTGTAATTTGATGATTATTTGTTGTTGGATGCTTAGTTTGGTTCTATTACAAATTAGTGTGTGTGTGTGTGTATATACACATATTAAAAAAAAATTGACAACCGTGGTGTCCAAGTCAGCTTGCACAAATTATGAGGGCAAAATATTACAAATTAGTATATTTTTGAGATAGGGGCAACTGAAATAGTACCAATTAGTATATAGTGTAAAATTAAAAATATTTGTGTACTTTTTAGCCCAAAAAAAAAGTTTGTTGACTATTATGAGGCCAAGCTTTGTCATTTTAATGTTTTAATTCAAGTATTATTTTAATACATGTATTCATATTCCACACTCTAACCCACATAACATAGAACACAAATTTCCACATTAACTTATGTAGGTACTATGTAAGAACAAAAGAAAAAATAAAAACATTATATCAACTATGCTGGATTTTATACCAATACTACTATATGCTGATTTTTATACATTGATTAACTCTATTAAAAGACCAACTAAATGGCACCTAAAGGTTGAACCCTTCAAAGTCATTAACTCACACTTTCTCAAGCAAAGGTCAATTTAATTGAGCCCAATAGAATATTATTCTTCTGTGCCAACTGTGGGCTTAAGATCCCTCAGTGACTCATTGTCTCCTGACTATCCCCAAATAGTTAAGGTTCATGATTCTTAAACCTTAACTACGTTAATTGTGAGGCTAATGATGTGATTAAGGCATTCTAAAGGTATTACCGACATCAATAAAGGTGGTATGCTTGGGACATGAATATGAATGTTGAAAGTGGGTAGATGTTTGGCATGTGCATGAGGCCAGGACAACTGCAGAAGTTTGGAATAAGTTGGCATGCTGTCAAAGAGGCCATAGGACGGAGGCCAAGACAACTACAAAAGTTTGGTGTGAGGTTAGTGCGTTGTTGAAGAGGCCACGTCAGTGTTGCCAAAGGTTCGCTTAAGCCCTGAAGCAAGGTTCAAAACGTGTTGCGCGCTTCGCATTGCTTAATGTGCGATTTTGTGTCGTCATCAAGGTTCTAAGGCATATTTTTTCTTGCCAATGAGCCTCTTTTGAAGAGGTGACACTCAACAATTGATATTTCACATTATTGTATTTTATTTTTTTGAGAATGGTAACTTTTCTTCTATTTATCCACAGGTATACTACATCAAAGTAGCCCCCCTCCAAAAGTATTACAAACTAGACTGACTCCATCTGTGCTTTTTGTCACAAAGTCTAAAACATCAAAAAATTCTTCTGTCTGTACCAAGACTTTCTGTTTACACCAAAAATAATAAAGAGCTATACAATTCATCTTGAAATTCTGCAAATTGTTCTTCTTGCCCTCAAAACATCTTTGATCCCTTTCTTTCCACACTGTCCACCATATACAAGCTGGGACAATCCTCCATCTCTCCTCCTTAATTGTAGTGGTGCCAATATTGATCCAACAATTTAGGAGTTGTACTATGTTTCTTGGTTTCACCCAAGTGATCTTTCTAAGGCTGCTGAAAATTCTCCATAATTGATCTGTCCATTTGCAATGCAAGAAGAGATGGTTGACTGTCTCTGCCTGTTCCTCACACAAATAGCATCTTGAGCATAGTTGGAACTTCCTCTTCATTATATTCTCTTGTGTCAGCACTGCTTCCTTTGCTAGTAACCATGTGAAACAGTTTACCTTGTATGGGATTTAAGGTCTCCATATCATCTGCCATGGCCAGAGCTCCATCCTATCATCTGAATTTGATTGATTAAGATCTTTGTAAGCTGACTTGACACTGAAAACCCCTTTGCTACCAATCTTCCACACAACCTTGTCTTCTTCCCTAGTCAGATTGCTAAATTGTGCCATTGTATCATGGAAGGCCACTATGTTCCCCATCTCCCAATCATTTAGATTCCTCCTAAGATGTAAGTTCCACCCCTGTCCTGTCCACATTTCAGCCACAGTTGCATTTTGTTGAAGGCTTAGTGTATATAAGTCTGGGAATAATTGTTTCAGGGTTCTTTGGGCTATCCATTTGTCCTCCCAAAATGACACCTTCATTCCATTACCCACTTGGAATCTGATTCAAGAAAGAAACAGAGGCCAAAGATTTCTTATTGATCTCCAGATACCACATCCATATGGTGTAGTTACCATCTTTGTCATCCACTTATTCTCCATTTCATATTTTGCCCTGATCACCTCTCTCCATAGCATATTCTCTCCTGTCATAAACTTCCAAAGCCATTTTAACATTAAGCTTTTGTTTTGTTTCTTCATGTTCCTGATCCCCAGTCCACCCTCCTTCTTATTTTTTATGACTTCTTCCCACTTGACTAGATGAAACTTCTTTTTATCTTCATTTCCCTGCCAAAAAAAATTTCTTCTCAAAGCATCTATCCTCTGTATGACATTGTCTGGTGCTGGGAACATAGACATCATATAAGCAGGTATTGCATCTAGCACACTATTAACCATGGTTAATCTACCTCCCCTAGACAGATATTGGCTCTTCCAGTTGGTAAGCTTCTTTTCGCATTTTTCTATCACTCCATTCCATATCCCTATTGATTTGCTCTTTCCCCCCAATGGCATACCTAGGTATATGGTTGGTAGTTCCCCTACCCTACCACCCAAAACCCCTGCCAGACTCTCCTCCTGAGCCACTTCATTTATGGGATAAATGAAACTCTTCCCCCAATTGATATGTAATCTAGAGACTGCGTTGCTCTGTCATTGCTTCACAAAAAATAAGGGTATCATCTGCATATTGCAGATGTGTAATCTCCAAGCCATTTTGTGCACTGCTGTCCACCCTAAAGCCCCTTACCCAACCCTTCATCTGTGATGTGTGAATTAGGTTACTCAAACCTTCCATGGCTAAAATGAATAAAAAGGGTGACAGGGGGTCACCTTGTCTCAGTCCCCTTTGGGATGAAAAGAAACCACTAGGAGTTCTATTAACTAAAATAGAAAACTTGTCTGTGCTTATGCAGAATTTCACCCATCTAATCCATTTGGCTCCAAAACCCACCCTTTGCATCATAAGTAGTAAGAAATTTCAGTTTAAATGATCATAGGCCTTCTGTATATCAAGCTTGCATAGTGTATATTTTTTTTCAATTTCTTTGTTCATATATTTGACATTCATGCTTATAATTATTAGTCATAGACTAGACATATATGTTTTTTTTTTTCTCCCTTTGCGCATTTTTTCATTAAAGTCCACGCTTTATTTGCGCTTAGTGCTTAAAGCCCTAATGAACCTTAGAGCATTTTTGCATTTTTTGCTCTTGATAACACTGGCCATGCTAGCTGCAAAACTATTTAGTTCCCAAAACGTAGATTTTGATTCTCACAAAATAGGTGGGACCTAGGGCACAACTTCAAGAGTATTTTCTTGTCATTCTACTTCATCCAACTACCAATATAAGATTTTTATGAATTATTTATGTTAGATAACACTCCATTCCATGAATTTTAACATCAAAATCTTTTGATTTTGGTTAGTCAAGAAAACCCATCAAGAACCCAAAAGGCTAGAGTTTTCAGCTACGAAGGGCTTTGCAAGATGCTAGAAAAAGCCCGACAATGCAACTGGATTCAGGGGTTCAGTGTTGGTTCAATCACTTGTAATCCAGTCATAATCTTCCACCTATTGTATGCTGGTGATACTTTGATTTTTTGTGAGGCAGATAGATCTCAAACTCTATACCTAAATCTCACTCTCTTTCTTTCTGAAGCCCTAAATGGTTTGCATATCAACATGCAGAAGAGCATTGTGTACCCAGTGAATGTTGGTTCGCAATATTGATAAGTTGGCTGGAATCCTGAGGTGCAACATTGGGACACTGCCTTGTTCTTATTTGGTTCTTCCTTTGGGAGCCAAATCCAGAAGTTGTGATATTTAGAATGGAGCAGTGGGGAAATTGAACAAAAGACTTGCTTCATGGCAGCTGCAATATTTATCAATTGGGGGTAGACTCACTCTCATTAACAATGTGCTCGACAGCATACCCACCTATTTCATGTCATTATTCCCTATCCCCCAAAGTGTGCTTGATATACTGGAGAGAATTAGGAGAGACTTCATGTGGGAAGGTAATAGTCTAATAGAAGCTCACACAAATTTCATCCCGTTGAATGGGACAAGGTTATAATGCATAAATCCAAAGGAGGACCGGGGATCAGAGACCTACCCTTGCATAACAAAGCTTTGCTTATGAAGTAGCTCTAGCTATACGGAATAGGGGAACACAGTTTATGGAAGGATGTAATCAAGGCTAAACAATGAAGCAAACTGAATTTCTTCCGAATGTTCAATTCAAGCCAGGTAATGCAGCACACATCAAGTTTTGAAAGGACTATTGGCTGAGTAACACACATCTGATGGTAAACTTTCCCAACCTTTTCAACATCGCCCTGGACAAGAACTCATCTATTGCTCAAAACAGAACTAAAAGTTATTGGGATGTGCACCTACGAAGAGCCGTTCAAGACTGGGAGATGGGAAGTTTGGTGGAGTTGCTAGCAACAATTGAGTCTTTTAACAGTAATGAAGATGCCCCTGACAGTATGAATTAGGGTAAAGAGGGCACTTCCACTGTTAAAGAATGCTACATGCTACTAAGCTCTCAAAACCAAGTCATTGACACTTGACCGTGGAAGTTGATTTGGAGGACCAAACTCCCTGTTAAGGTTATATGTTTCAACTGATCTGTGGTCTGCTCTCTGGTATGCATGCCTCACTCTGGACAACCTTAATGGAGAGGATTTGAGCTGGTCAACAGGTGTTACTTCTGTAGGTGCTCCCATGAATCTGTCAATCACCTATTTCTGCATTGTCCTGTAGCCAGAGACCTTTGGAGTGTGTTTTTTTTCAGTTTCTTTGGTTTAAGCTGGTTGCCTCTGGGATTGAGAGAGGCACAACTGTGCTGGAGCTTGCGGAATGTGGATACAGCCATCAAGAAAATCTGGCTTATGATTTCTTCAGCTATTTTGTGGTATCTACGGATGAGAGAAATAGAAGATGTTCTGATGGCATATCAACTCTAGTTCCTCTCTCAAAGCCATTTGTTCAATTAATCTTTTCAGCTGGACAAGATGTCCACAGTAAATAGCACTGGACAGTTTAAAGAATTTGTTAGTTCTTTTGTGCTCTCTAGCTGGCAGACTGAGATATTATTGAGGCAAGCAATACTCTCTCATACTTTGCCTTTTAAAATTTCTCTCACTGTAAATTAACATCTACTTGATGCTTTCTAATGAATCCTTTACTTCATCAGAAAAATAAAAAAGATTTAAACCTCTTAAGGTAAACCCACCTACTCTACTTTAACTTTTATGTTTATTTATGGAGATTAAGGATGCTTATGGTATTGTTAGGTGGTTGGAAAGTTAAATTTAATGGTACTTACTACTTAGTTTCCACCATTAATGGAGATCGTTGGGTGGATGTGGAAAATGATGAAATATATTTTGAGAAAGAAAAGTTGATGGAATATTTAATGTGCGTTCGATATTGTGATTTACGATGATGTTATTGATGATTTTAACCAGTTACATTGTAGAATAGGGATGGTGAGCTTAGTTCTCATGGAAAGAGGTTGAATTAACTAGGTTAGCTTGAGCTAATTGTTACTTGATAATTGGATTATATAAAATCTTGTGAGCTTGTAACAATGGAGTTGAACTCAATTATTTGTAGATTGAGAATTTAGATGGCTTGAAAGACGGGAGAAGCCAAATGATCTTCGAAGGTGTTTGGTGAGAGGTTTCAAAGGTTTTGTGGATTAAAACTGGTGAGGACGAGCTAGTATCCAATTCACCATGTTCAAAAGTTTGATCTGAAAAATTAGTTTTGCCTAATTATGGATTTTTTTATGGAAGCCAAGCAATGCTTACTATCTTGTTTATTGTTCGACTTAAATGTCATTCTTAGTCATGAACATATCTTGATTCATGCTATGCTTCTATGAACAAGCTTGTGATATACATGTTGGAGTGAGAATGACACTCTTAAGTAGATCATGTCTATTTCAAATAGCCACGGTCAACTTGGTTAGTATGGGATGAGGGAAACATCCCATAGTAGAACAAGTCTACTTGAAATAGCCACAGTTACCCCAGTTTTTTGGAGTGAGGGTGACACTACCATGTAGAGCAAGTCTACATGAAATAGCCACAGTTGTACACAACTTTCTGGAGTGAGGGTGACCCTGCCAAGTAGAACAAGTCTACTTGCAACAAGCCGCAATTATGATTGACTTCAGTGTCATTAAGTGCTTGCCTGTATTGCAGATTATACAGTTTTCAGTTATCAATTTCTCTCAGCTTTCAGTTAACAATTTTCGGTTCGAGATGTATCTATGCTATTTGTGCATTTCATGTTGTATTTATCTTGTCCCACCACTTAGTAGGTCATCTATTAGACTTAATGTGTATTATAATGGTGTACTAAGCGCTCACGGGCCTCTTTATCTCAAAAAATGGGTAACACCGAGCCTAGTAACTCCAATTAAATGTTGCATTGTCCTCAACATCCTTCACTTTTCTTTCCGTGGGAGTTTCACCCTTCATTCAATTATTCTGCTGTATGCCCCAAGAACATATGTAGTTCCTCTTCTGACTCTAGATGGATAATAACTAGTTTCAGACCAAGCGAGTATCAGTTATGATTGGGAGATTTTCATTTTTTTTTATACAGTATGGCTGGGGGATTTTTGATAGCTGCTTTAAGCTATTCAGTTGAGACTAAGTTGCTCGGACTCTCCAAAAATGTTGCCGCACCCGTGTCGGATCCTTCAAAAATACACTATTTTTGGAGGATCTGACACGCACCCGTCGACATTTTTGAAGAGTCCGAGCAACATAGGTTGAGACATATGTTTAACTATTTCAGTGCAGTTTATTTGACTATAGTTGCTAGCTCTTAAGATATTTCATTGGTTTATAAAGTTACTCAATTTCAATCCAATGGTTCGCTCAACGGGGTAGTTAGTCGGGTGTTGATTACACATACATATTTTTGGATCGTGACATAAATAAGCGTAGGTTGAGCATCAAAGGACATGCACTTTCAAGGTAAGTAATGCATAAATATCAGAATTTCATGTTTGTTTGATGAGAATGAAACAGATGAAGATAAAAGGCATACATGTAGCAACCCCCGCAAGTCTAATATTTAGCTCCTTAGAGATAACTAAAACAGTTGAAGCACTTGTGTATAACACAAGATATTCATTTCTATATATTAATCTCTAATCACTTAAACTATGTTTTGCATTGCCCAGAGCTTTCTAGTATACGTTGGTGACACCTCCTCATCAAAATTATTTTTATTACTCTCCTACTAACTTATTCTATCTTATTCTTTGATTTTATTCTCTCCTTGGCTTCGGTTATCATATTATTTGTTGTTGCTATTGTTCTCTTCTCCATTGTTTTCAGTATGGATTCTTCACAATTGTATTTGCTTTACATACTTAATTTTTTAAATATTTTACTTGAGCCGAGGGCCTATAGGAAACAGCCTATTACCTTCTCAAGATAGGGGTAAGGCTGTGTACGCACCACCCCGCAAACTCCACTTGTGGGATTACACTAGGTATGTTGTTGTAAAAGAAGCTCAAAGTCAGCCAAGGCAAATACCCAACAAAATCTTAATTTAGGTACAATCTAATCATTAGAAGTGCTACAGGAATATCCATGATACATAGGCCTTTAAACCCATCGGCTAACCATTGTAGCGTATGGAATTTTCAATGTCTGTGCTTAGAGTAAAACCTCACCGGTGGAGCTGAAAACGACAAAGAAACAGGAGCTCCAAAAGATCCTATTTTTCCAGTTTTCTAACCAAGAAACATAGGAAATTAGCTATTCATGACACCAATTTCCACTCCAACAAAATAAAAACCAAAAATTATCAAATTACAGCTTTATCGGTTATTCCAAGCCATACCCAGAAAAGAAAAAACGTATAAACTTGCAAGCAGATACCTAATCGGTGAACATTTGACGTCAAATTGAGAAGAGAATTCAGAAAAGAATGAAAATGCATATACGAGAAGAAAGGAGAAGGGGATTGATTCATACTCTGATCTTGGCGAGGACGCCTTTCTTCTCTAGGGTTCGAGTGACGAGGGTTTTGAGGTCCATCATTTCTCTTGTATAATCATCCATTTCTATTTCCTGGGGGTTCTTCCGCTGCTGCTCTCTGCCGAAGCTAGAAATGTCTGATTATTTTTTTTCAGGGCTCTCTTCTTCGTTGTGATATTTTTTGTATCCTTACATTGTTTTCGAAATCTTAAAAAGTTCAACAAAGTGATGGGGGTGGGGCCTTAGAAAAGTAAAGATAACAACGGTTGGTATAGTATTGCAATTTGACACTTGAATTTTATTGAAAAAACTACCCAACAAGCAAATATGTGTTATATATGTGTTATATGATACGCAATTGTAGTGTGAATCTAACCCATCAATGATCCCCTAAAGTTGGTATAAATTTTCACTTAGACATTTTAACTAAATTTTATTTATTTTAGACACCTCATGTTGCATCTCATTGTGTCATTTTGACACTTTTCGCTAACTAAGCATGGTACTGCCACACGAATTTTAAGCGCGTTAGAGAGTTTTTTTGTAAATATTTTCTTCTCTTTCTTCTTCCTTGCTTTCTCCCTTCCATCTTCTCCACCTTCTACCATCCTTCATCACCACACAACTTTTTTTAAAAATTCTACAATACTTTACTGGGTTACACTCTTTGATTCTTCCATCTTCTTTGAAAATCGAATTTATATCTTGATTCATATTCAAAAACAAACCTCCAATGAAAAAAAAAAGAAATATATTTTACATATTCTTCATTGTAAATCCCAATTGTGGTAGCACAAGAAATCATCTTCTTTTAAATGTCATACAAAAAAATTTCGATTTGATATGATTTTTCTTATTCTCCCAACATATTTTACTTTGTGAACTAACCTTTGTTCTTGCCTTTTTTATGGAGAAGAACAGATGAAAAGGGAAAGGAGGCACAAGAAGAAGAAGAAAAGAGGTGGGGGTGTGGGATTTGGGATTTGGGATCTGGAAGAAAGAAAAAAAGAAAGTAAAACTGAGTTTTTAAAAAATAAAATAAAATTTCCACGTGTCACATACCGATTTGTTTATTTTTCCACATAAGAGGCGTCTGGATGTACCCACTTAAAAGGTGGTTTTGAAAATATAAAAAGTGTCAAAATGACAAAATGAAGTTTGACATGAGGTGCTTAAAATAAACAAAGTCTAGTTAGGTTGTCCAAGTGAAAGTTGATGCCAACTTTCAGGGGCCACTGATGGGTTTGGCCTTATAGTGTGTGTGGGTGTGTGTGAGAGAGATCTTTCTAAGCTCGGTCAGCCTATGATTTCTACTGAATAACCCATGTTTTGGTACTCATGCTACACTTTTGCATCATTTTCTGATAGAGCTCTTAGTGCAAGCTATCCTCATTGAGTTTGGATCTCATGTGGCCGTCACAGATTTAGATCGGGGTGATCTCTTATCATCCAGAGATTTGTTCGTTTTACTCTATATATTTTGTATTTTGATAAGATATATCTATCTATATATATATCATTTCCGTACTTAGGCACTCTTGTACTGGTGACACCAAGTCTAGGGTTTGATTCTTTTATGTAGTTTTGTCTTTCTCGGACAGTTATGGGCCTATTTTGTATATTTTGTATCGTGTATACATATCAATGCCATGGGCCCTATTCTATGTCTCTATTTCTTCCGTATTTTTATTTTTCTAGTACTTTATTGCCTTCCATTTTGGATTTTGACTTGCCTATTTGGGGGTTATGGTAGGCGTCATCATGGTTCAATTTTGAAGTCGTGACATGGTGAAAATGTAAACCCCCTACCAATCTCAAAAGTAAAGGAGTAAAAGATTTTTGTGAGCCTACAATGAGATTTACCATTCTATGTTTGTGCTATCTCAAATAAGGGTCGAGATGATATGAGTACCCTCTAGCATTGCATATGAATTGTATCAATTGGTGTCCAAGTAGGAGACATTGATTGAAGCCCCAAATTTGAAATGATGAGCTCGAGCCTCTCGTTGGGTTCACAAATCTCAATGATCTGGTATGATATTGATTCTTTCTTGAATCATAACGAATATAGAGAGTTGACAACGCACATCTTGCACATCATTCTGGAGTGCTTGAAAATTTGGTGATGAAGCCATTGAAGGTAGTCGAAGAGTGATCATAGGCTCTAATATCATTTGTAACAAGAGTATTGCTCTTGTTATTATTGTGTAGAATACGAAAATGAAATAGAAGAAACAAACTACAAAAATAGAGAAATTTCTTGTGATATTCAATAATAATTTCAGTTGTAGTATGATGAATATATAATACTATGTCGTAAGAACATTCCTTTAGAGTTTAGATAGGTGTCCCAATCACTAACAGAATTAAGGAGTAGACAATAATTAAACTTAACGAACATTAGAGACTAAAAGAAATATTAAAAGAGCAACTAATAAACATAAGGGAATAAGGTTGACATATTTAAAAACTTAAAATAAAAGTCACAATAGACATTTGTGACATATTTTTCGCCTTCTTCATCAGCAATAAACTATATTATCACATCAGAGTTGTATAGTTCAGAAAATGGATGTTATATTTTTCCTCTTCCATTTTGATCTTCATTTGATTCGTTTGTTTCTCCCTCCTCTTCTTCCTTTGTTTCTCCATTTTCATCTCCTTCTTCATTGGTGTTTCCTTGATTTCCACCCTCTTTTTCTTCTTCATTTAGTTTAGATTCTTGATTTTCATTTTGTCCTTTGTGACCTTCTTGCCTTTCTTTTTCATGAATTCTACTTAATTTATTTATATTACAAATAGTCTTTATTGCATTTCCATCTTCTTCTTCATCATCATCATCATCAGAACGTGTTCTCTTACGCTTACTCAACGCGGCGACGATGTAATTGGTAGAAAAAGCATCAGAAATAGCAATTTCTTTAGAAGAAGTATCACAAATAAATTCTTCTTCTTTCATAATTTGACTAAACGATTCATCACATAGTAGATCTATTTTAAGAATATCAATGGCGACTTGATTTTCTAATTGATTATTATTTATGTCAACCTGTGAACGAGGATCAGAAATTGGTGATGAGGGAGATGAAGATGAAAATACTTCATTCACAGAAATTGATTCTTGTGCAGGTAACATTTTTTGTGGGGAGGGCCAAAAGAGAAAGAAAAAAGGAATAAAGATTTACACTTGATTTCAATATGATGTGACTACAGAGATTGTTAGTCGCAGTTATATAATAACTGCACACCTTGATAACATGATTACAATAATCTGATTTGACTGAAAATATTGTACATAAAAAATCAGTTTTTAGTATAAAATTAATTAGAGTTTTATTTTTTTACCTTTTTTCAATATCTTTGGATTATTCCTAGGAAAAACTAATGACATAAGATTATTTTTTGAAAGAACATTGAAAAACATTAAAGAATATTTCTCTACTTTTTCATTTTAGTACATTTGCTTAAACAATTTAACATTTGTAATTTGCTTAATATAGTTGATAAGAAAAGAAAATTAGAGCGAAAATTAAATGTATAGATCTAACAAATTATTGTCAAATATAAGTCAAACTTTGTAATTACCATTTAGTTCCTCATCTCCATCTCTAATTATTAGTGGTTATATATTTGGGTCATATTTTTATAACTTTTTTATTAGTATATTTATATTTCTCAAGGATTTTTTTTCTTCTCAAAAAAATTATTTCATTATTACTTCTCTATCACTTTTATGTTTATTTTTAAAAAAATCTCTTTCTATAAAATTTTACTATCATCGTTACATATCCATCACCTTTATTTTTCTTAAGATTTTTTCTCTTTTCAAAAAATTTAACCGTCACCATTCCAGATCTATCACTTTTATGTCATTTCAAAATTTCTTCTCTTCTCAAGATATCTTTTTGTCATCATTATATATTTGTCATGTTTTTATCTTCCCGACTATTTTCTTCTCTTTTAAAAAAAATCATCTTTAATCACATCTCTATTAATCCATCTAATCTATTTTAATTGGCTTGTTTACTAAAACTAGTAGTTCAAAATAATTATCATTTTAGAGAATCAAGATATAATTAATTATTTATTTTCACATTTATCTTTCCTCAACAAATATGGTGAAAAATTAAATAGTATTTGTAATGACCTCCTAGGTCATGTTATTTGTTCTTCCATATTTTTTGTGTTTAGAGCATTCCTGTAGTGGTCTCAATCATATGTCTTGTTGGGACTGATTGTTCAATTACCAAATCATTCGTTTGGGTTTTATATATGTTTTTATGTTTTGGAGCTTTTAAAGTTTGAATGGTTGACTTCAGTCAAAACTTTAGGAAAACGACCTCGGAATATAGTTATGATGATTTCATTAGCTCCAGAATGTTGAGTTTGGTCTAGAAAACTTTTGGTTTGGATCCTGAGGCTTCCAAACTCATTTCAAGCGACCTTGAAAATTTTAACTAAAATAAAGCTTGTGTGTGGGACCCACTTTTTATCAAGACGACCTTCTTCAAAAGTTTCAATAGTTTCATTGATTCTGGAATGTCATATTTCGTTGGGTAGCATATTTGATTTGCATTAGTACGAACCTAAAATAATTCTTAAGGTCCGATTGAAACATGAAAGTTTAATCCCAAGAGTTGATGCACCGGTTGCTGGTACAGTCGCTCGCACGAAGAATGATCCCCTCCTACGAAGAGCTGGCCACATCATCTAACTTTGCTCCTCCGAACCTTGGTTGCTTTGGTAAAATCACACCTACGAAGTTGGGTCTACTCCTATGGAGTCGGTCAACTTTGTTGACCTCCATATCGATAGAGTTTTTTCCGCTCCAACGACAACGCTTCTACAACGTCAGGTTCGCTGAAGTGGCGCTAATAGTGATTAAATTTCTAGCACCATTCATCATTTTTCATTTTGAATAAGGAAGTACTGAGAACTTTTTCTTGGGAAATTCGTGTGAGAAATTCTTGCATTGAGTTGGAAGTAGCTTGGGGATGTTGTAAGGGTTGATATTCTTGCTTTTAAATATGTAAATTCCCATTAAATTCATTGATTTTAGCTAGAAATGGGTTTCTTCGCCTAGTTTAT